GTTCTGTATCAGACTCTAATTTTTTGCAGTGCGCCCGTGTGTACACTAGATTTTCGAGTTGTCGACCCCTCGCCAGCAGCAGGGCCCTTCGCCTCGGTGTGAGCTTGGCCCGGCCGGCGGCTCGTCCTTCCCCGCGTCCTTGGCCGCGCCCAGGCCAAACGCACACGTGCGTCGCCACGCCACCAGTCGCGCCCGGAAGCGGCACCGGCCAGCGAGGAGAAGGAGACCCGCGCGGGTTATACACTCGAAAAACAAAATTAAATGACGAAAAAATAATTAAAATGGGGGGGGGCGTTTATGATTGTCGCGTAGAGAAAGACCGGCGGTCCATCGGAGAAATGAAACGAGAGAGTTCGTGCTTGCGCCACACGGAAACACATGCACAATGCACTACACACGTAGAAAAACGTTTTTTTAATGCGGAGCTGGCTGGAACTACACTTTTTGGACGGGTACACCTGGTCCCCGCGTCGGTATCGCTGGTATGCCCGACGGGCCAGGCCAGGACGGGCCAGGACGAGCCGGGACGGGGCACGGACACTCCAGACAGGACGGCTCACGGGACGGCTCACGGGACGGCTCACGGGACGGGACGGGCAGCAAGGACGGCACGGCGGCGGGCGGGAGGGAGTCCCGTTGGCACTGCGGAGGGGCCGTCCGGAAAACAGGAAAGGGGCACTGCACTGCAAGGCATATACTACTGCAGTTGAAGTTGAAGTGAGTGCGAACCGTGTGTCTTCGCCCTGCATTGGCCGGCATGGGCTGGGCTGGGCTGCTGGGTGCCCGGGGGCGACGGCGGCGGGACAGCCGGACTGCCCAGCACGGCTGCCGCCAACCCAGCGAGCTTCATTCATGCGCCACTCATTCGAACGGACAGAAAGGATATAATTTTTAATCGCTTTTACAGACAAGCCGCCGCTGCCGCCGCTCCGCCTGGGGGAAAAGCAGGAGGGTGCAGCCGCACGGATCGGAGAGGAGTTGCTGCCATGCCAAACCGTGCATAACTTGAGGGGAAGGATAAATAATAAAAAGAGTCGATTCGCATGAAAAAGACTGTACTTCTAATTCCTTAATTTGAGTTGCGCACCAGCGCGGCATTGCCGCTGCAAGGTGAACAGGACGCGGGGTCCAAACTGGATTCCAACATCCTCCGCGTCCGCGCGCTTAGCCGCCGGGTACAGTAGTGGTACCCTCCCGTGGTGCCTGCCTGACACGCGCTTGTCTACCTGCGCGGTCCTGCTGCGGGTCCTGCGGGGCTCCTGTGGGATCGGGCATGTCCTCGACGCACTCCAGCAGGAAACGCTCCGCCAGCAGTGCGAGGGCGTCGGTCGAGCGGGAGAGAGGGGTAGAGGGGGGGGGGCGCTTAGGCGACAACCCTTCCGTCCGCAGGGCAGGCCCGATCTCTCCAGTGGATGTGGACGGCCGACCAGACATGCCCCAGACTCTCCCCCCGCCACGCCCCTTTCAGCTCAGGCAAGTCCGGGTGAAATGAGCTCCTCCAGGACCTATACTCGCATCGCTCTCGTTCGACCAAAACCAAGTCAACCGCTCAGTAATAAAATGCTCACGGTGAATTTCACCGTGTGTACAGAGAAACCCTCGTAGCACTGTAGCACAGTGACATTGGCCATACGCAACCGGAGATGGAGAGCAATGTGTACCAATAGCCTCGATTTCGATCCCCTGACAGACTAAGAGAGGGTGTGTTGGGTAGTGTTGGGTGGTCAAACCAATGGAGTGTCAGCCCAGCCCTGCGCGTTCAAGTTTGGTCGTCTGACTGAACAACCGAGCGCCCTATGCCATCCGGTACAAGACAGTCTTCGGGACTGTCTACAACACACCGACTCTTCCATGAGGAACACACACATACGTGCAAGTGGTCGGCGTGTACTCACACGCCCACCGCTCGAGCTGGTGCATTGAAAACGTGCACCACCCCACCCCGCTCCCCCTTCCTTCCTTTCAGTTTTTTCCTTCTGCATTTTCGCTCCTTCTCGGTTACCTGTCCAGGTGGCGACGCTTGCAGAAGGGCTTGAACGTATGGGGTCCCTCTCGCAGGCTGGGCGCGCGGGCGAGGCAAGGCCGGGGTCAGGGTCAGAGACCCCCGCTCGCCGCCCCCTGCTCGGCTCGCACAACCAGCACCGTGAGGCCGCCGCGCCGCGCCTGTCACATTCCACACTACCGTCACTACACGAAAACGGGTTCCTGGACTCCGTCCGTCCGTCTCTCCAGGGCCTCCCACCTCCCCACCCCCCTCCCTCCCTACACGCTCGGGTCACGAAGGGGGTAGCGACGCCGACGACGACGGGACGAGAGGGTGGGACTGGCACAGCGACCGGTGAGGCCGGGGAGCAGGGCGGCGGCCCGCTTGAGGTGAAGCAACTGGCGGCGGGGCGGGGGTGTCGTAACTTTCACAGCCTGCATCATTGCTCCCCCACCCCCCTCGCGAGCCGCAGGCGGGGCGGGGCGGGGCGGG